TGAAGGATGTTATAAAATGGTTGAAAATATTATTTTAATATTTTGGATCAGAAATTTGTCTTGGAATTGTGCAATTTTCCAGATTTAACCGAAACAGTGGAATTTAGTGACTAAACGCAAGATTTGAAAATTCAAGGTGAATTTTCAAATAAAAGTCAAAATAATTCATGTTTGACTTTGTAATATGATAATGATCAGATGGATTGGTTTTATGGTGAATATGGAGATTCATTAATGGCAAAAATGGAATGCTCATTGAATTGAATAAAAAAATTCCATTTTATTATATTAAGCCATGTGTTAGATTCATTTAACATTAGAATATGAATGATGGTGGAGATTTTCAGTTCATCTTCTTCTCCAGCACAAGAACGTGAGAAAGCTTGAAGGTAAAAATATATTTCATTTTCAATTTGAGCTAATTCCTTTGGAATTTGAGTTATGTTGTGAGATAGGAAAGTGATCTAAGCGAAAAACGCTATCATTTGGTACCAATATTGCTTTTTATTTTTTTGGATTTCAAAGATCCTAAATCTAAGGGTTTGTGTTCATATAAGGGATCATGAAATTGATGAGGAATCTTGATGTTTTAGAGGTTGTAGATTCATTTTCAAGTTTGATTGATGGTTATAACATGTTCAATCTTCCTTGAATTAATTCTTCAAATTCGGCCAAATCATAAGTTGGAGAAATTTGTGTTTTGATGAGAGTTAATCAAGGATTTGATTGTAGAGATGTTAAATGGTTGAGTTATTGTGTTTTATGGGTTTGAAGAGTTAAGTGATTTGAAAGAATTGGTTGTAAGAATTGAATGAAGTTAAGAAAACAGTTTGGATTTTGAATCTGGAAGTAGGTTCGAAAATCACCAGAAATTATATAAAATAATTTCTAGGTTATTTTTATATATTGTGTTCATATATCGATCAAGTTTTGTTTAAAACAAATGGGATCAATTTCAAGGTGTATACAAAAGATATGAATTGTTAACCAAGGAAAGGTTAGAAAATTCGGACAGCAGATTCTGCAAAACAGAATATGTTGGTCAACTTTGAAAAATCACCATAAATTGTACATATTGAATTAGAAGGAGTTATTTATATGGATAGATTTTTATCCGAGTATAGTTTCCAATGGAAGAAACGGAATTAAATTCCAGTTTGTATATCATACAAAATACTAATTCTTTAAAGGCAGTGCAAGTTGTCGGAATATGGAAATTTTTGAAAGTTTGGTGATTGTAATACAAATTTCGAATTGTTGGGAGTGTTTATTGTAATTATGCCTTGGTATGGGTGCTTGGTTTATAATAATTTCAATACTAGAATTTCTTTATTGAAATTCTAAGTGATAAAATGGTGAAGGACCATTTTGTGTAAATTGGAAAAGTTGATTCCAATGTTAAAGGAATTATTAAGAGATAAGTATTTGATAGATAATGAGTTTCAAGTATATTATGGAGCTATTATGGGATATGTTTATGTAGTAGAATACTAACATATGTATCGTTATGAAATTGTGAATATACAGATTATGATTGATTTGCGATTTGAAGCAAGTCAAGTGGGTTTATTGTGGACAATAGTGAGGCACAAATTTGGAAAATTATAAAGTGTCAAGGTGAGTGCAATACATGCATGAAATTATACATGGATGTTTTATACATCATCAGGAAGACTTGCGATAAGTCGAGTTTATATCGACATGATTTTATATTATTTTTATAAATTGACATTGATATGTCAGAGTATGAAATTAAAATGCATTGATTACTGATTTTTGCATATGATGTTATCATGAACATATATGATTTTTACCATGAATTATTTCGGGTATGAACTGCCCCATTGTTAAATATTGATAATATACTTTGCCATGGATGGATCAAATAAATAGACTGTATGCCCAAGTAAGTCATTGAGGGACAGGGTATAGTTGGCATGCCATAGAGTTCAGCAGCAGGTTGCATACGGGATACACTAAAGGATAACTAGTGTATATGGTGGGTACGACCTTATGTGCCATACGGGACAATACTTAAGGATACCTAGTACAGATGGTGGACACGACCTTATGTGTCATACGGATTATGGTGGACACGACCTTATGTGTCATACGGATTAGCACTACGGTGCTTATATTTGACTCGTGTACCTAGGGTCCTCAGGGTTGTATATTGGGTTATTGTCTATGGTTTATGGTTTATTGGTTAATAAATGGTAAGTTATGCAATAAGCTTACGAGTTTATGGAATGAATGGCAAGTATTGGAAAGAATATTTTTTTTATATTCAGTTATGATACTTTAATCATGGTAAAATATTGGATATGCTATTAACATGGTTTTATGGCATTTGATTTGAAATTGAAATTCATGCATGAATTATATTGCACTATATATTGTTTTAATTGCCTCAGTAAGTTTATACTTAGCGTGTGATGATTTTCACGCGTAGGTAAAAAGCAAAGAATAAGAATAAAGAGTTCAAAGTGACATCAAGTATCGAGAGGTATATTTCAATATCAGTAAGACATCCTACGATGGAATTTGATTTTAGATAGTGGCATGTAATTTGAAAATGTTCAATTTATGTGTTGAATAAATTTTGGAAATTTTTATAGTGATGAAAGGTTAATTTTTATGAATTTATATGTATTTTCGGAAGTTACTGTAGCGATGCATAATATTAATTTGATGTTTTGATGCATCGATGCACTGTTCACGTTACTGTAGCGTATCGATGCACTGTTCACTGTTCACGGTACTGTTCATCATTGTTCACGGTACTGTTCATCATTGTTCACGGTACTGTTCATCACTATTCATAAAAAAATCTTTTGAATTAAATTTGCTATAACAAAATATAAATTATATGATATGATATTTTTAAAATATCAATTACCATTTTAAGAAAATAAATTTTAAATCTTTAGAAAATTGGGAAATGGTTTTAGAAATTCGGGTGACATCTGTAATCTGTATATGTATAAATATACGGGTTAGGTGTTATACTTTTTGAACAGTATCAATACTCTAATAGTATCGATACTACTGTACTTAAAAATCATTTTTGACTTAATATTGTTCTAGTAGTATCTATATACGATTTTTATCATTTCTATTAATATATTATAATTTTTTATTTATTTTATATTTTTATATTATAAATCTCATCATGTTCTCTAGCTATGCTTACTTATTATTATTATTATATTATTATATTATTTTTATTATTTTCTCAAGAAGATATATAAAGATATTCTAATCAATAATAATAATCGAGCTATGCTCTTAATAGGAGTCTGATTTTGTTTAATATTTAATCTATTGCTGTATTTTTTATTTATTATTATAACATTATATGAATCAAAGAAATAATGCTATGCTCTTAATAATATTATTAAATAATAGTTTTTAAAATAATTAATTAATTAGGAGGAAAATTTCATTCTATTTTATTTTAAAGGAAATTGAGTTTTAGGGAAACTAATTTTTAGGAAAATTTATTTTTATTTATTATATAAATATTTTTTAAAACCATCCGGTGTCGTTTGGTTGGATGGAATCCCTTGGAATTGGGGGAAATTGGAATCTAATTCCACCACTTTCCCATGTTTGATTCAAGTTTTCCAAGGGAATTGAAATCTCATGGCTTCAACTTTCCATCAAATGAGGAAAGTGAATTACATCAAGAATTGATGAATTCAATTCCCTTGTTGGAAGGAATTGAAATTTGATCATACTACCCTCATCAATCTTTTGTTAACTTATTCATATATTGAATAAAAATTTTTTATTATTTCGGGTCGGGTCGGGTTTCTAATTCATATATTCGGGTCGGGTCGGGTCGGGTGAAACTTTATTTTGGTCGGGTCGGGTCGGTTTTTTTAAGTGTGCTATTCGGGTTGAGTCGGGTCGAGTTCGGGTTTAGGGTGAAAAATACCCGACCCGAAAATATATATAATTTTACCTTATATATTTAGGAATAATTACAATAATACCCATCTATATATATTTTTAATTAAGTCACTGTTTTATTGAATAATTTTTTTATTTTCGGGTCGGGTAGGGTCGGGTGAAACTTTATTTTGTTCGGGTCGGGTCGGGTCGGGTTTTTTAAGTGTGATATTCGGGTCAAGTCGGGTTGGGTTTTTTTCAGTGTGATATTCAGGTCGGTCGGGTTTTTTTAAGTGTGATATTTGGGTCGAGTCGGGTTCAGGTTTAGGGTGAAAAAAACCAGACCGACCCGAAAAAAATATAATTTTACCTTATATATTTATGAATAATTACAATAATACCCCTCTATATATAATTTTTTTCAATTAAGTCAATATTTTTATTGAATAAAAATAATTTTTTTATTATTTGTGTCGTATTTAATTCATATATTAAATAAAATAGTTTTTGGTATATTTTTGGTAACTAATTAACATACTGTGATTGGAATGTATCGAAATATTGCTCTATCTTTTGGTAACTTATTAACATATTTTGATTGCGATGATTTTAACTTATGATTTATTAGCATGATTTTTATAATTTATTAAAATGAATTATAAATCAATAAAATGAAAATTTAATATTTTTTAATTTTTTATAATATATTACTACATGTAAGTTGTAAAACAAACTAAAATAAAGTAAAAAAAAATAAGAATGACAATTCTGTCATTTTACATTACTGAAATCAAATTCATCTGATGTCTGCGAACCAAACAGAATATGGAATTGGAATAATTCCAATTCCAATTCCTGGTAGATTTTAATTCCTTCACAGATTCCAATTCTCTTATAAACATTCCACGAACCAAACGCCACCTCAGTTTCATCTTGAGATTTCCTTTGTTTGACAAAATAAATAAATAAATAAAAATAAAAATAGAAGTCTAAGGTTCAAGGAAATAGAACCGGGCTGAACCGGATAAAAGGAGTCGGTTAGGGCAGTTGCTGTTGCGTAGAGAACATAAATAAACAAGAGACATCTGATGAAAGCGGATTTAGTGGTAAAAGAAGAAAAATAAGCATTAGAAGAGGGCTCTCTCTCGGTGGACTTACCCCCTCCAATTTATCCTTTACGAGTGCATTATCAAACCAGTAAAGGTATTTTTCAGATCTAAGCCCACTCTTTTTTCCTATTCTGTAATTACGATTCCAGTATCAAACCATTAAAGGTATTTTTCAGATCTAACCCCCCTCTTTTTTTCCTATTCTGTAATTTTAAATTTTTTTTTGGCTACATGGAACTGTTCAAATATTGATTTCTTGGCGGAGAAAGATGGATCGTTACCAGAAAGTGGAGAAGCCGAAGGCAGAGACACCTATTGATGACAACGAGATTCGTATTACCAGTCAAGGCAGGACGCAATTATATCACTTAAGCCGTGACTTTGCTTCAGGTTTTTTTTTCTTCTTCTTCTTGTTTATTTCTGCGTATTTAGATCTTTATATGAGTTGGATATTCGCTTTCGTTTTAAGGATATGCACCAGAACTGTTATTTAGTAATTGTTCGTAGCTTTCAGTGGGCGCACCTGCCAGAGTAGGTGCGTCGGCAGCTGCACTTCGAAGGTTCATTGGCAAGTGAAGTAAAAGGGAAATGTAGTGTTTATTCTCTAAGCTTCCTCCACTCTTTATCCTCCTAATGTATTGCAATAAATTTTATTCCTTGGGGAACGAACTGCAAACTTAAAAACATAGTTTTTGTGTCAGATCGTTCAAGTTAATAAAGAAGAAAGAAAAAAATAATGCTTTTTAGCTGATCTCGAGCATTTGGAACTGTTTTTATTTAATTCATTGTTGCTTAGTTTATATGGTTTTGCATAACAATTTTTATATTTTGAATTCCATTTTTTTTTTTTATCCCATTTTTCATTTCATTTGCAGTAAAACTGTGATGTCATATAATTACAGATCTTGGTCTTGTGATATTTGGAGATTATTGTGTGCCAATCGCCATCCTTTCTCTTTGGTTAATTGCTGTTGCTGCTAAATTTTATGAAATTTAGAGGTTTATGAAGATCAGTTACTTAAAAAGTGTTTTGAGTCCTTAGTTAAATATATGTACACCAGTTCAATCCATGAACTAAAATCTGAATGATTTCTTATTGGATTTGAAAGTTTGTTGAAACATTCGTGCCTGTGATAAGAACTCTGTTATTTTAGTGAGATTGATCATTTAGTTGGCTTCAAAGTTGTTCTGAATTTGATTTAAGATTGTACCGTTTTAGTTGTCGATGGCAATCGGCATAGTTCTATATTTTAATAGTGAAAATAACATTTTTTAACTTGGTAATGATCAATGATTCAATGTTTCTTGAGTGAAGTGGATAGGTTTTTTAGTAATTGTAATTCTAGTTACATGAGTAATGCATTAAAAAATTATGATCCCTGCTATGCCTCTTTTCATTTTGTTTATGAATGTGGTTTATTGTTGCTTAAGCAGACATGGCTACCAAGAAGCCAAATACAAGCCTCTTTGTAGGACTGAACAAGGGCCATGTTGTAACCAAGAAGGAGTTGGCTCCACGTCCATCTAATAGAAAAGGAGTAAGTGTATTATATGCCGTAATTTTCGCAGAATAATTGTCTTTTGTTGAAATTGAAAGGAAAAAATAGCCAATGTTTGATATTTTGTTATTCCATTTAGTTTATCATTCGGAAGGTTTTAACAAATAAAATAACGAAGACTGTAACTATTGCGGAGTTAATTAGGGTAATTCTGTATATATGAAGTTGCCTGAGTGTTTGTGAATTTTATTCTTGCTTAAGGAAGCTGACAATGTGCTTCATCTACTTGCTATGCAGAGAAGAATTGTCGGTCTTCATCAGATTACATCTATTGGATCCACGGATATAACATATATGTGGGAACCTTTTGAAGAAGGACTTCTTCCGTAAGAGCTATATTTGACCCTTATAACAACAATAGCTGTTATTTTCTCTGCCCTTTAATCTGCTTAATTAGAGTACTCTAGTAAACATTGTTGAATTATCACAGATTGGAGACCACTATGCATGTGTCCATGATCACTACAACCCTTTCGAAGATTGAATTGAATACATCGTCTGTCGGGTAAGTTCCTACATTTATTTCCCTTTACTGCGTTGTACTTTACTATGCTTGGTGCCTTCAGTTTTAGTGAATTTTAAATATTAAGTCATTTGTGTTCCTTTTTTAATTAATATGAAACTAGTTGGCTATAGTTCATTACAAATAATTGTTTACTTTCACTTTTATGAATGTTGGGGGCTAGAAAATTTTAACATACAGAAAGGGTTTATGGCTTTAGGTTCTTGTTATGTTGGTGGCTTGAAGATAGATGATTGGAAGAACATGTCTACACATTTTGAAAGTGACAAATTTCAAGTAAAATGTTTTTTATGTTGATTAATTATGTATTATTTATGAAATAAAATAAACAAAAAGGTATTATATATGCAGGGTCAAAGCAAAGCAAATAAGAACTACAAGAGAAAAATTAGAATTCCACATACTTTAGGTTCAAAATCATTTGTCCAACGGATTTATGAATTGGTATGTTATGAATTTATTTATTTATTTATTTTGTATTTTATCTAGAATAAAAACGGTTAATAAATTACTTTTGTCTTCTTCAATTTTATGTATGAGATTTTTTTAATTTTCTAAATTTAGGAGAATACCTAAGAAAATATTGAAAACCATTCAGAAGAGTCAAATATCGAGCCTGCTGAAATGAAACTGTATTATGATGCTCATCATAAAAAAGATGGAACATGGGTTAACCAACAAGCGGAAGAGAACTATGAAAGATTTTATTTGTATAAAATAGAATTTTTATTTATTAAAAATTTCAAGCTTTTGATTTATTTCACTTATATTTGCAAAAAAAATTAGAACAGTCTTAGTTGAAGAAACTGAAAAAGGCATTGAAGTGAACAGACGTCAAATTTTAGAAATGTTTTAAATTCAAATTATGGTTACATTCGTGGATTTGGTTATGTAGTAAAACCAAGTAGTTTCAAAGAATTGAATTGAAATATGTTTAGAAGCTGAAAAGGTTGAGAATGAAAAACTAACCCAAGAATTAGTACTTCAACTACAAAGTCAAAATGCCAAAAATCTTACCAGAATGCAACAATCAATGAGTTGAAGGAAAATCAAAATGTTCTCTAAACTCATATTCAAGAATTGCTTCAAAGATTTATAGGAAACACATCTATTTGAATATTCAAGGTAATATAATTTAATTTTTAATAATAAAATATATTTTAAATATTTATTAAAAATTGAACTTAATTTAACTTTTTGTATTTATATGTAGGTGTGGAAGAATTTATGGACCTTCATTGTGGATTTTAATTTACTTTTATTTATAGGGTGGAATTTATTTTTTAGCAAATTTATTCTAAACATTTTATGTTATTTTAATGATATTTAATATTAGTTTTATTGTTATAAGATTTTAAAATATATTTTAGTTATCATAACCAATTTTTAGTTATAATAATAAATTTAAATAAAATTTTTTTTTGTAACATCAACAAATTTATTTAGTCAAAGTAATTATGTCAAATTTATTTCGTCCTAATATTTTGACAAAATAAAAAATTGTGACAAATTTATTTAATCAAAAAAACAATTTATAACAAATATTAATTTCTCATTATAAAAAATTGTGACAAAATATTCTTTCATAATAACAAATTATAAAAAATTATTTAGTCACAGTAAAAAGTTAAAAATATTTAGTGATGAAATAAAGTAGTGAGAAAATAAATTTTTTTGTAATGTCTTTTTGTCACAAAAATATTTTTTGTTTGATGTTATAATTTAACTTAATTGTGACGAAATTTACTTTTTGTGATAAAATAATTATTTTATTTTAATAAATATTTTGTCTCTGTAAGTTACATTTCGTGACGAAATAACAACTATGGCAAAATAATTTTGTTGCCTTATGTACTTTCGTCACAAAAACCTTTTATATTTGATGTTTAAATATAAGTTAGTTTAACAAATATACTTCTCGTGACGAAATAATTAATTGATTGTGACAAATATTTTATTGTGATAAGTTAATTATAGTAAATAAATTTCATTGTCACAATAAATATTATACAATGGTAACGAACACAATTTTGTCACAATATACTTTACATGACAAGGTTGTTCTAACAAACATGATAAAAAAAATAAAATTGGTTAAAATAAATATATTGTGACAAATTTAGTACTTTTAGTGATAAATAATTTTATTGAAACAATCAAATTTTCTTGTAGTGAGTGGAGACTATCTAACATGATCTTCACATCATTAAGCTAGAGGTCCGCCGCAACAGGACATTCCTCGGCTTCACCTGTAACACCCTCAACCCGTACCCGACCCAGATACGAGTCTGAGGTGTCACATTGACTTTTCAAACTTTGACTCTTGACGAAAATCAAGAAAATTTAAAACTTTCATTAAAATAACATTGTTACTTTATATAAGTTAACCAAAACAAGACAAAATCGATCAGAGCATTCGTAACTAACACTTTTCTTACATGCCAACACAATATACACAATCAAAATACATACTTTCTTAGTTACTTCTGATCTGATCTTCTAACAATGATGTCGTTCTTGTCACCCCTATTTTTGCTCTTCTGAATTCTTGGTACCTACGAGTAAATCACTTACACGTTAAGTCACAGACTTAGTGAGACATAAAATAAACAAACAACAATAATAACATGAACACACACAACTATTAATCCACTAAGACATTGCAATGCACCTGTAGATATCACACTATGACATATAAGTATGATATGCATGAATGAATAATTATGTTTTATAAGAGTTTTCCTTTAATTTATCTTTGAATGCCCATGTACATTATTGAGAACAGAAGGTATGCGAGTACACTGAGGTTGTGCACAATGCTGTCACCACAGCTCGAATAAAATCCCACTAGGGGCACTGAATATTTATCCCGAAGGACCACTATGTCCCGAAGGACCACTAATATTCCCTTGACTCTTGGCATGCCAATTATACATACAACTCTCATATTAAATAACATGGGCTTAATTACCAATATTTTATTTCCTATATCTTTCATCACTGTTTATGTAAACACATAAGTCACTTCATATGATCATTTCCATTATTTCACATACCTGGAAGGATTCTCTGATAATGTCATTCATTCATATAATATCATGTTAAATCATGAATGAATTATGCATGAAATCACTATAACATTAACACATATATATGTATGCATGTGCATGAATATGGAATCATAAATTCAATTATAAGAGATAGACTTATCGCAAGTCTTATCTCAATACAATTCTATCTAGGATATCCACTCACCTTAGCCTTGTTTGATTTGACTCGATCCTAATCCTTCGATTGTTCCGGAACAAGATTACGTTCACTATCTTTGGCTTGGTTATCACGTAGGAAGGAAGATGAAGAATATATGAGAACTCTGGAAACTTGTGTGTTTCCCTCTTCACTCCACGTGGGTTAATATAATCCATAACCAAATTTAATTATTTTCCTTGCAAATGACCATTCTATCCTTTTATTCCTCCTCCTATTCAATTTGATCCCGGTATTGAGGATGTTACAAATCTCCCCCTTAAGAAAATTCGTCCTCGAATTTTCATTGTGCAAAGAGATGGGGTATTGATTCCTCATGTCTTCTTCACATTCCCACGTTGCTTCCTCTATCTTGTGATTCCTCCACACGACTTTAACTAATGGAATAGTTTTGTTCCTTAATTGTTTAATCTCATGAGCTAAGATTTGAATCGGTTCTTCCTCATACGTCAAATCCGGTTGAATCTCAGTCTCTTCTGGAGTCACAATGTGGGAGGGATCAGATCGATATTTCCGAAGCATTGAGACATGAAAGACATCATGGATTTTCTCCATTTTAGGTGGCAGCGCTAGTTGATATGCCACTGGTCCAACTCTCTTTACGATCTCGTAAGGTCCAATGAACCGAGGACTCAACTTTCCTCTTCGGCCAAACCTCAAAACCTTCTTCTATGAAAACACTTTTAAAAACACTTTATCTCCGACTTGAAACTCAATTCCTTTTCTTTTTAGGTCTACATAGGATTTTTGTCTATCATCTGCTGCTTTGAGATTACTTTGAATTAGTTGGATATTTTCTTTAACTTCCTGGATCAACTCAGGACCAAGAACTTCTTTATCTTTAAGCTCGAACTAATTTAGGGGCGTACGACATCTCATTCCATAAAGAGCCTCATAGGGTGTCATTTTGATGATTGATAACTATTGTTGTAAGCGCGAACTCAGCAAGTGGCAAGTATCCTTCCTACGATCCTTTGAATTCTATAACACATGTTCTCAACATATCCTCCAGAATCTGGATAGTTCGCTCAGATTTTCCATCTGTTTAAGGACGGAATGTTGTACTAAAATTCAGTCGAGTGCCTAATGTTCCATGCAAGGTCTTCCAGAATCTCGAAGTAAATCGAGGGTCCAGATCAAAAACTATGGAAACAGGCACTCCATACAATCTAATGATCTCCCTTATATATAACTCAGCGTATTTATCCATAGAGAAATCAGTCCGCACCGGAATGAAATGAGCTGACTTAGTCAATCTATCTACGATCACCTGGATTGAATCTCTTTTGTTTGAAGTTAAAGGTAACCCCATTACAAAATCCATTGTTACATTCTCTCATTTCCACTGAGGAATCGAAATTGGTTGCAATAATCCTGACGGAACCTAATGCTCAACTTTGACTTGTTGACAAGTCAAACACTTAGATACAAATTCCGTAATGTCCCTCTTCTTTCCAGGCCACTAATATCGACTCTTGAGATCCATATACATTTTGTTTCCTCCAGGATGCATGGTCAATGGGCTACAGTGAGCTTCCGTTAACAAGTCTTTCTTCAATTCAACATTATCAGGAATCACTAGCCTCCCTTTATAATATAAGTTCCCATCAGTCTTCAATTCATAATCCGTAACCTCTCCATTCCTTATCTGTTGTAGCTTCTTTGAACACTTTTCATAACTAGCATGTAATTCTTTAATTCGATCTGGCCATGATGGCTTGAGAGTTAACTCTGCACATATTACACCGTCTCCACTTAACGATAGTCTGCCATCTAAAACTCGTAAGGATGCAAACGTCTTTCGACTTAAAGCATCTGTTACCACATTTGCTTTCCCCGGATGGAAATCGATTACTAAATCGTAATCCTTTAAGAATTCCACCCATCTTCTCTGTCTTAAATTCAATTCTTTCTGAGTCATCAAATACTTTAAACTCTTGTGATCTGTATATAAATAACATTTTCCCATACAAGTAGCGACGCCAGATCTTAAGAGCGAACACTACTGCAGCTATCTCCATATCATGAGTTGGATAGTTCTTTTTGTGTGGTTTTAATTGTCTCGATGCATAAGCCACCACTTTACCTTCTTGCATTAATACGCGTCCCAAGCCATTACGAGACGCATCACTATACACTACAAAGTTCTTGCCA